GAGGAAGGATGCAGGCTTAACTTGTAAGGGAAATTACAGCTGTTTCTATACAAATGCTAGAAGTGTCCGAGGTAAAATCGGGGAGTTGGAGTGCTTGGTGTCGGAGGGAAAAATAGACATTGTGGGTATTTCTGAAACTTGGTGGGATGAGGAAAATCAGTGGGACACAGTGATTCCCGGTTATATATTATATCGGAAGGATAGGGGGGGAAGGGTTGGAGGTGGGGTAGCTCTGTATGTCAGAGAGGGTATAAAGTCTAGAAAGATTGAGAGGCTAAGTGAATTGGATTCGCTTCTGGAAGTTCTATGGGTTGAAATAGGGGGGCCAAAAGGAAACTTAACACTGGGAGTTTGTTATCGCCCACCAGATCAAAAGATAGAGGAGGATTATAAAATGATGAATGCCTTAAAGATAGCAACTAGACAAAAACACTGTGTAATAATAGGTGATTTTAACTACCCACACATTGATTGGGTCAATATGTGTTCTAGTCGGGAAAAAGAGATTGAGTTTCTAGACACTCTAAATGACTGTGCTATGGAGCAGATGGTCACGGAACCTACCAGGGGAGAGGCGATCCTTGATTTGGTCCTAAGTAACACTCAAGACCTGGTGAGAGATGTAAAAGTGATTGCACCGCTTGGAAACAGTGATCATAATGTTGTTGAGTTCATCATTTGTACAAATAGAGAATTGGCCAAAAAGACTCACACAACCATTTTTAACTTTAAAAGGGGTAATTTCTCTGATATGAGGGGACACGTGGGGAGGAAACTGAAAGGAAAAGTAGAAAGGGTCAAAACAATTGGGGAAGCTTGGGATCTATTTAAAACTACGATCCTAGAAGCTCAAAAAATATATATTCCGCAGGTTAGGAAAGGCACAAACAGGTATAGGAAAAAGCCTGCATGGTTAACAAACAGAGTAATGGAGGCTGTAAAAAGTAAAAAGAATTCCTTTAAGCAGTGGAAAGCTAGTCACAGTGAGGCTGATAAAACGGAACACAGGCTATGGCAAATAAAATGCAAGTCTGAGGTCAGGCAGGCAAAAAGGGAATATGAGGAGCATATAGCAAAAAACGTAAAAACCAACAATAAAACTTTCTTCAAATACATTAGAAACAGGAAACCAGCCAGGGAGGCAGTGGGGCCCTTGGACGACCAAGGGGTAAAAGGAGTATTGAAGGATGATAGGGAAATGGCTGAGAAGCTAAATGCATTTTTTGCCTCCGTCTTCACTGTGGAAGATGAGAAGTGCTTGCCCACTCCAGAACCACTGATTTCAGGAGGGGTGTTGGAAGACCTGAGTCAGATTGAGGTGATGAGAGAGGAGGTCCTAAAACTGATAGACAACTTAAAAACTGAAAAATCACCAGGCCCAGATGGCATACATCCGAGAGTTCTGAAAGAACTCAAATGTGAACTTGTAGATCTCCTGACAAAGATATGTAATCTTTCCTTAAAATCTGCCTCCATTCCTGAGGATTGGAAGGTAGCTAATGTCACTCCCATCTTTAAAAAGGGTTCCAGAGGAGATCCGGGAAATTACAGGCCAGTCAGTCTGACGTCGATACCGGGTAAATTGGTGGAAACCATTATTAAGGAAAGAATTAGTAGGCACATAGATGAACAAAACCTATTGAGGCAGACTCAGCACGGTTTCTGTAAGGGAAGATCTTGTCTCACTAACCTGTTAGTGTTCTTTGAGGGGGTGAACAAACATGTGGACAAGGGGGATCCAATAGATATTATTTACCTTGACTTCCAGAAAGCTTTTGATAAAGTTCCTCATCAAAGGCTCCTAAGTAAGCTCAAAAATCATGGGATAGAAGGACAAGTCCTTTTATGGATCAAAAACTGGCTAGTTCATAGAAAACAGAGAGTGAGTGTAGGTGGGCAATTTTCTCAGTGGAGGGTGGTAAGCAGTGGGGTACCGCAGGGATCAGTACTTGGTCCACTGCTTTTTAACTTGTTCATTAATGATTTGGAGATGGGAGTAAGCAGTGAAGTGGCTAAATTTGCGGATGATACAAAGTTGTTCAGGGTGGTGAAAACCAGTGAGGATTGTGAGGCACTCCAAGGGGATCTGTCAAGGATGGGCGAGTGGGCGTCAACATGGCAAATGGGGTTCAATGTGGCCAAGTGCAAGGTGATGCACATTGGAGCCAAAAATCCTAAATATAAATACACATTGATGGGGTCTGAACTGGCAGAGACTGAGCAAGAGAGAGATCTTGGAGTTGTAGTGGATAACTCACTGAAAATGTCGAGACAGTGTGTGACTGCAATAAAGAAGGCCAATGCTATGCTGGGGATTATTAGGAAGGGTATTGAAAACAGATCAGCCAATATAATAATGCCCCTATATAAATCAATGGTGAGACCTCATTTGGAATACTGTGTGCAGTTCTGGGCACCACACCTTAAAAAGGATATTATAGCTTTGGAAAAAGTGCAGAAAAGGGCAACTCGAATGATAAAAGGGTTGGAACACTTTCCCTATGAGGAACGGTTAAGGCGCTTAGGGCTCTTTAGCTTGGAGAAAAGACGACTGAGGGGTGACATGATCGAGGTTTATAAGATTATGCATGGGAAAGAGCAGGTAGAGAAAGAGGTACTTTTCTCCCTTTCTCACAATACAAGAACTCGTGGGCACTCCATGAAATTGCTGAGCGGTCGGGTTAGAATGGATAAAAGGAAGTACTTCTTCACCCAAAGAGTGATTAACACTTGGAATTCACTGCCACAGGAAGTGGTGGGTGCTACAAGCATGGATGGCTTCAAAAGGGAATTAGATAAGCATATGGAGCAGAGGTCCATCAGTGGCTATTAGCCACAAGGTATAGCTAGGGGCTCTGGGGCAAGTGATGCTCTGTCTTCTTGGTGCTTGGGGGGGGGTCAACAGTGGGAGGGCTTCTAATGTCCTGGCCCCACTGCTGGACCTCCTGATGGCACTGGTATTTTTGGCCACTGTGTGACACAGAGTGTTGGACTGGATGGGCCTTTGGCCTGATCCAACATTGGCGTCTCTTATGTTCTTATGTTCTCTGGTTTAATAGGGAGTTAGCAAATCTTAAGAGGGTTGGAAGACAGGGAGAACATGGTTGGTAGAAGACTTGACACTGCATTTGACAGAACATATAGAACCCACTTGATGCCCTATGAAATGCTGAAGGTCATATTTCTAAGAGTATCAAAATAGTCAGCGGAAAGATCACTACTGGAAGACAATTTTGGGAAAAGGAAATCATGGCAACTGTAGGCAATTTTCTTACTTTCCTTTTCAGGATAGCAACGTCCATTGTACCAGGAACAGACTCCCCCCCCCCCCTACCTCTTTGAGATTATTGGATCACTTGAAATAGGTTTCAAGGTCAGGGATGCTGCTCCAGGTGTTGCAATCCCCTCCACTCAAGCATTGCTTCTTTAACAGTTGTCATCATTTGAATTAATGCTGGTTATTTTATTAATATTGTACACTAATATGTTACAGTTGCAAGCTGCTTTGAACTTTGGAGAGGTGGGATACATTTTCAAGTTAAAAATAGGGAGCTCTCTTTCATCTCATGTGGAGTACTATAACACATTTTTCTTGCATTAGTGAAGCTTCACCAAGTGATTTGATTTTTAAAAATTTAATATTGCCACACTCTCTTTATAATTAGCAATAGGAAGAATTTTAAAGTGTTCCACTTAATTAAAAATAACGCAGAATATACAGATGTTTAACAAGTTATGGTCTACAGAAGACCAATATTCTTGCATTCGACTTCAAGCCTTTTAAAAACATATTTTTAATACAGAATTTTAATACAGTTCTAGAAATCAGATCTTCAAAACTGAGACAAAACCCAATTATAATATTTCCATACAACTAAAGAGGAATACTGCAACACGTTAACCACATAAAGGTAATGTTAAAGCTAGTGCAGCTATAATTTTATCAAATACTATTGGCTAAGGAAATATATGCAATATCCTACCTAGACTTAGAAAAGAAACATAGGATCACTATTGCTTATTTGAAAAGGTCAAGGAGTCCTGGAGTCTTACACAATCATGCAACTAAGTTCACACCTTTAGGAAGTCACCACAACAGGGGAAGTACAGAACAAACATTATATACATTAGTATTGGTTTACAGAAAAGCTTCAGCTAGGATTAATTCATATGATGTATACCACCTGTAATATTTCTTTGCGCACACTATAGTTCTCAACTCTTTCCCCAAGTACATCTTTGTGCCTCTAAGCAGCACAAACCAACCTATTTGAACAAATGGCTGAGTACATTTATATTGAATCTAATCCCTTCTGTAGCTCTGTATCAACCGAGAAATACTAAATATGCCTAAACTAGTTGGAAATGGGATGGAGACAGTGCTCATCCCCCCCACCCTTAACTTGAAGCAAGATAAGCCAGTATGGTTTGAACAGATATTTGATACACATTTCCCCACCACTGTACTCAAGGCTTGTCACTGCGTGAATGTTGACAGGGTTTTTGCCATATCTTCCTTTGTAAGTGCTTCAGAGGGCCACATATGCAACCGTTTTTAACCTCTTCTAATGTTTAGGGAAGCCAGCTGGGTGAAAATTTCTGAGAAAGGGATGAAAAGAAATCAAGAAATATTTGTGTGTTAGGAAAGAAGGCCCAAGACTTGAGATTACTGAAGCCTTGACATCTCTTGAAGCAGCACTCTGAAATACCTGTAGGAGAGAAGCTCGTGTATTTTACAGTGAACTATATTAGCTGGTCATGTTACGAAGTTTCTAAGGTAACACAATGCTATTTTATATTAACAATGCCAACATGTCACCTAAGCACGTTTTCTATATTATTTTAGGAAAGGAATTTTGCATTATGCTGAATATTTCTCACAACTATACAACAGTCCTGGGATGAAATCTTCTAAAAAGTTAAAGGCAATACATCTTAAGAAAATGCTTGGTGTTTTGGTATGGTTGAAGTGTGTTATATTTTTATTAAGGGTATATTTCTTTTTTTACTGGGAAGAAGGAATGGGAGCAACACACATGCACACCAACACTGTACTTCTCTAATTAGAGGCTTGAGACATCCACACTATTATACACTGTTTTTTACTGAAGATTCTAAGTAGAGGGAGATGAGAGCAGAAAATAGATTTGATACTGGACAACGAGCTTCAAGCTTTACTTTAGGAATACAGACACACACCTAGGACCACTAGTACAGTGAGAACAAAAGTTGCTGGTGGAGGCAAGAAAGCAGAGGGGACAGCTCAATTCTTCAAAGCCCTTTGAGTTTCTGAAACAGAGAAATTTTCTGCAATAGTTTTTCAACATCCACAAGTCTTTGCATATAGTTGAACAACTTTATTCATAACTTTTAAGTGGAAAGGCTACATTTACAATGCTTATCAAAGTGATGGGTGGACCGATGGAGAAGTTTAAAAAATTTGAATTCTTACAGAAAGTTATCTAGGTATCCCACCACTAGAATGTTGAAGAGCTACCAGAAATCCTCAATAGTAACACATTATTTCTGTTAGGGTGGTAATTGCTCAGTGAACACAATGCCCGCTTAACAGTGGTCATATAAACATGACTTTAGTAGAAAGAAATATTAAAAACTCCAAGGGCCATGAGGCTCAGCACAGCCTTGCCTTTTCATTTCACACAAGGGGAGACTGCTAACAACATACCCACCAGCTTCAGTTGTCAAACTGATGAGAGCCACTGGAACCATATGGATGAAGTTCTGCTCAGCTTTAGAAGGGAAGGGAATGAGACAGTCCCGCTTCATTTTCTTTTATGGCCCAGCAGTTTTTACACTCTCAAGATTTCAAGGCAGTTATTGTAACAAATTGCTATCCAGTCTGGTTGGGTGGATGCCCACTGTACATTGTTGATTTCTCCTTCTGCTGTATAGGCCAATATTGGGTCCTCAATGGCACGAGGCATTTGCTGGATGTCCCAAATAAGAGCTTGATGGTCATCCGCTGCACAAGGTGAAAGAAAGGAGAATTAGAGCTAAACTCTAGCCTTTTGGCAGAGAATTCAGAAGAAAATGGGGAAAAGCAGTGTTTGAAGAATGAGACTAAACTTATACCCATTGTTTCTCCTCCGCCTCATCAACTTATGCTGGATACCAAGTTTATCAAATGTATGCCAACTGCATCTCTGAATTCCTGTACTAGATAGCAGGATCAAATACTAAAAGTGTGGTAGAGGGGCTAGACTGTCAGATTACATTCTTGGAATCCTTGAGTCAAATCCCAGTACTGGCATGAAGCTCCTTGAGTGAGACTGGGCTGGTCACACACACTCAATCCAACCCACTTCACAGGGTAGTTAAGAAAATACGAAGTTGTATGTGCCTTGCAGGACACAGATGGGATAGTAATGTACTAGGATACATTTACCTATATACAACTGACAACTTTAGTTTACTATGGTCATGGACCAGCAGTATAAAATAAACTTTTTATAAACTTCCTAAAGCTAGCAACTTCCTAAACTCTCTGCTTCTGAACTTATGACAACTCTTAATTGACTCAGTTCAGGGCTGAAGAGTCACAGGCAGAGCTGTAAGATTTCTGGAATTCTCTTTGAAGCCACAGGAAAACCTTTTTTTTCGTGTTTATTTCAAGGGGGGGGGGAGGCCATTAATGCTGCACTACTTTCTTGTCAAACCTAAGCAGCACTTTGTATGGCCCAGGCTAGTTCATACTCATCAGCGCTTGGAAGCTAAGCAGGGCTGGCCATGATCAGTACTTGGATGGGAAGGAAGACCAGCGTTGCTATGCAGACAAAGGCAGTGACAAACCACCTCTGCTCCGCTCTTGCCTTGAAATCCTCATGAGAGGTTGAGACTTGGCAGCACTTCATCACCATCATCACCATCATCATAATACCTGAACTTCTGTTAGTGATTTTACACATGCTTCATTTGCAACTTAGTTAACATACAAATGACACTATTGGGCATATTATGGAATTTAAAAGCATGCCTTCATTTTCTATAATAAAAACTGCATCTGTACCCAGTACCTGAGAAAAGAGTTGCAAACAGCTATACCTTATGTTACTATTAGCACGTGGATCTTAATTTTTGCCATCAGAGAAGCAGGAAAAAATGGTGTACTAAAGAAAATAAAGGGTACTATATGGACAGAAACATACTCATACAGTCGCAATAGGTAGGACTACCAGCATGTTTAGAGATAAAGTTAAAATTTATGCCACTGAAAACACTGCAATCTGTAATCATGTGTTATCATTAAACACAGCATATTTTTGCCAAAATTATTTACATTTAAACAAAAAACCATTGAAAATATTGTTTATGTCTACAATTTACATAGGAATTATCTAATGTTGTAGATTGGGGTGTCAAGCTTGCGGGCCACGGGCCTGACCGGGCCTGTAATGTGGCCTGGGAGTGGGGCTCTCTTCCCTCCCCCCTCCCCCACCCTCGCTGTTCTCACCTTGAGCTGTGTGGGAGTAGAGAGAGCCAAGGGGAGGGCTGCTTCTGAGAGCAGGAAGCAGAGGGCGGGGCTGCCAAACTTCCCAGCCACTGCTCCAAGCCTCTGAGGTCCTCGTCACAGGTAGGAGCTGGGGGGTGGGTGGGTTTCCTTCTGCCGTGACCCTTGTGCTTCTTTTTTATTTTAAAACTGGCTTCGCAAAATCCCATAACCCCCCCAAGTTTTCCAGTTTAGGCAGGCACGTTTTAAGGGTGTGTGTGTGTGTGTGGGGGGAGGTTTGGGACCAGTCAGGGTTAAAATATAGAGTTCTGCAAACTCAAGGGACTCCAGTTTTGAAGATAAGTACTTGTTTTAACACAGACACACACCCTCCTAATGTGGAGCTCCAATGGAATAATAGCAGAACAAGTGCTGAAGAGGACACCCAAGATTATTACCTCAAACTGCCTTGTAAAAAACCCATGAGACCCTGGAGAGCCACGGCCACGCTGAGTAGACCGGGGGTGGGGGGAGAAGCTTGCAATGCTCAGCCATTTCATGTTCTTCCCCTGGGTCCTAGGGCTCAGACCATTTACATTTGTAGTTTATATTGGGGGGGGGAGGTTTGGGACTAGCCACAATTAAAACGTAGAGTTTGCATAGAAATATTAGCCCCCAATGTGGGACTCCAATGGAATAGCTGCTATAATAACTTTGTGCTTTTCTGTGTCCTTTATACATTTTGTATCTCTGCTACCTGTCATTACATTTTATGACACACATGTCCTGTCCTGACAAAGTCCAATTTATGTCAAATCTGGCCCTCATAAGAAATGTGTTTGACACCCCTGCTGTAAATTCTTACATAAACATTTTCATACTGCACATTTTAAGTAAAAGGCATCTCACGTCACTCATTTTAAGGAGAAAATATGCCAGATTTTTTTTGCTTCTTTTTCGTACTGTAAAAGAAAATATTTCATAGGTGTTTTTCCAATGCTCCCCAAATGTCACATCTTTTCCAGTGGAAAAAGTGAAATAGTCCTCAAGACCTTTTTCATGTAATGCAGTTTGAAAGTAAACAAACATACACCTTGCTTTGTGAAAAACCTTGAATTTCACACATTCTAAAAGAGAAGATAAACTGATGGAGTCTTCAGGGGGAAAATGGTTTCCCCCCCAAGCATTTATATCTCTATCACAAGCAATAATAAAGTGCTTTCTGTAAACAAGATGGTCTTTGAGTGGTTTTGATGGCATCAGTCATTTCCTTAAATCCTCCCCTTGGGGTGATATTGTCCAGTAGATAGTTCAAGCCAATCCCACAGTGTCAGCGCCAATTCATGGCGGAACTTCTGAGGGCGGTTCCCAGTCCCGAGAATTTGGTCTAGACTAGGTGGTTTTCTATATAGACGGGTTGGTGAGCCGTTGAAAAAATGAATGCTCAGGAAGTCTGTGTTTGACTGTCAAGGCAGCCGTTCTGGCCATAAGCGCAGTACTGGGCTTTTGGGGTGGGGGTGGAAGAGGGACTTACAGGAGGCTATAACACTTCAGTACATTTAGGAAGTGGGTCCTGAATTGCAGAAACAAATCTCTTTGTTCTCTAAACAGCAGACTTGCCAGTGGTAATGAAAACATTTCAAGTCTCAGGGAGTAAGGTCGACTATAACTAGAGTAGATAATATTTCATTTATAAACTGCCCTCCCCCGGAGAGGCCACACACTGGGTCTGATCTTTGGAATGGGGATAAATGTGGATCTGATTACCACTGACAGGGTGCCCTGGTCAAATCACTTCACCTTCGGAGACGTATGGTTCCTATTGGTTGCCAGAATGCTCTGTGAGATCCGTTACCTCCCAGAGATTCATTGGATGTGGTGATAGAGGACTGGAATTCCAGTCTGTCTGAAGCCATTGATGAAATTGCCCCCAATGCTGTCTTCATTCTCGCCCTAACCTGGCTCCATGGTGTACAATGGAGCTTGGGGATGAAGCGATAAGGGGAATGTGCCCTCAGAAGGGACCTCTTCTTCAGCTGGTGAACGGGTATCCTTTCGCACCATCCCTTGGCAAAGAGGGAGGGGGGCTCTTGGTAGTTGGTGATTCGATCCTTAGGCAGGTAGACAACTGGGTAGCGAACCCGCGTACTGACCATATGGTGACTTGCCTGCCTGGTGTGAAAGTAGTGGACATTACGCGTGTTCTAGATAGGCTGGTAGATAGTGCTGGGGAGGAGTCAGTGGTCATGGTATATGTTGGCACCAACGATGTGGGGAAATGCAGTCGTGAGGTCCTGGAGGAAAAATTTAGGCTGCTAGGCAGGAAACTCAAGGCCAGGACCTCCAAGGTAGCCTTCTTGGAAGTGCTACCTGTTCCACGCGCAGGGCCAGAGAGACAGGCACAGATCAGGAGTCTCAATGCGTGGATGAGACGATGGTGTAGGGGGGAAGGGTTCAAGTTTGTTAGGCACTGGGATGCTTTTTGGAACAAGAGGGAGCTGTACAGAAGAGACAGTCTCCACTTGTCCCGAGAAGGAACCAGGCTGCTGGCGCTTAAAATCAAAAAGGTGGCAGAGCAGTTTTTAAACTGAATACTGGGGGAAAGCTGACAGGAGATGAAAAGTCTCTGGTTCGGGATGGCTCATCTCAAAGAGATGAAGGGGTAGCTGTTACTTTTCTACAAGGAAATGGATTTGAATTGACCACTGACACTGTGGCTAATGATATGGACTGCCTGGGAAGGTCTCGAGGCAGCAAGAGGAAGGTTGTGGGCTTAACATGCATGTGAAACTATAGATGTTTATACACGAATGCTAGAAGTGTCCGAGGTAAAATCGGGGAATTGGAATGCTTGGTGATTGGGGGGGGGGACAAATAGACATTGTGGGTATTTCAGAAACTTGGTGAGATGAGGAAAATCAGTGCGATATGGTGGTTCCCGGTTATAAATTATATCGGAAGGATGGGGGGAAGGGTTGGAGATGGGGTGGCTTCTGGAAATGCTATGGGTTGAAATAGTGGGCCCTAAAGGGAGCTTAACACTGGGAGTTTGTTATTGCCCACCAGATTAAAAGATAGAGGATTATAAAATGATGAATGAATTAAAGATAGCGGCTAGATGAAATAACTGTGTCATGATAGGTGATTTTAACATTGATTGGGTCAGTATGTGTTCAAGTCAGGAAAAAGAGACTGAGTTTCTAGACACTCTCTATGACTGTGCTATGGAACTAGAGATGTGAAGGCCCGGAAAAAACCCGGAAAAATTCGGGGAAAAACCGGGTTTTTTCCATTTTTTTCCTAAAGCTTTTTGTTTTTTTCCGAAAAATTGGAAAAATTGAAAAAAGTAAAGAAAAAAAATTGATTATGGAATGTTTTATTTTAACATGATGGATAAAATATTTTAAGACAAGGTGTTCAAATATTTTCCAAATCATTTCTAATATATATATATATGGTATCAGATTGATCTAATTTCTGTGCACTGACAAGCAAGTCCTAGGTTACAAACTGAACTCTCCAATGCAAGAACAAGAGACATTTCTTCCTTTAGGAGGTGCTATTGTCATGAGAAAAGAAAAAGGTTTCAGTTTTGTTTTTGCATGTGGGCGGGTATTCTGTTTGTAATAACTGGATACACTATATTTTTAATATGCTAGTTGTGATAATTTCATGCCAAGTAAAAATGTCCATAGTCATATTTTATGTTCCTAAAGTAACAGAATGGCTTTCAATCTAGAAAAGACAAAAGAAGTGCTATTGTAGCATTTTTTTTCCAATTTTTCTGAAAATTTCTGTTCCCCCCCGAAAAAAACTGGAAAAAACCCGGGTTTTTTTCCGAGCTTCAAAATTTCCGGAATTTTACATCTCTATATGGAACAGATGGTCACAATCTACCAGGGGAGAGGCGATCCTGGATTGGGTCCTAAATAAAGCCCAAGACCTGGTGAGAGATATAAAAGTGATTGCACCGCCTGGGAACAGTGACCATAAAGTTATTGAGCGTAATGTTTGTATAAATAGGGAGTTGCCCAAAAAGAAAAAGTAGAAAGGGTCAAAACCATTGGGGAAGCTTGGAGACTATTTAAAACTACAATCCTAGAAGCTCAGAAAAATATATACCGCAGGTTAGGAAAGGCACAAATAGGTATAGAAAAAAGCCTGCATGCTTAACAAAGTAATGGAAGCTGTAAAAGGTAAGAAGGATTCCTTTAAGCTGTGGAAAGCTAGTGAGGCTGATAAAAGGGAATACAGGCTGTAGCAAATAAAATGCAAGTCTGTGGTCAGGCAGGCAAAAAGGGAATATGAGGAGCATATAGCAAAAAACATAAAGACCAACAATAAAACTTTCTTCAAATACGTTAGAAACAGGAAACCAGCCAGGCCAGGGAGGCAGTGGGGGCCTTGGATGACCAAGGTGTAAAAGGAGTACTGAAGGATGATAGGGAAATGGCTGAGAAACTGAATGCATTTTTGCCTCTGTCTTCACTGTGGAAGATGAGAAGTGCTCGCCCACTCCAGAACCACTGATTTCAGGAGGGGTGTTGAAAGACCTGAGTCAGATTGAGGTGATGAAAGAGGAGGTCCTACGACTGGTAGACAACTTAAAAACTGATAAATCACCAGGCCCAGATGGCATACATCCGAAAGTTCCCTAAGAACTGAAATGTGAACTTGTGGATCTCCTTACAAAAATATGTAATCTTTCATTAAAATCTGCCTCCATTCCTGAGGACTGGAAGGTAGCTAATGTCACTCCTATCTTTAACAAGGGTTCCAGAGGAGATCCGGGAAATTACAGGCCAGTCAGTCTGATGTCAATACCGGGTAAGTTGGTGGAAACCATTATTAAGGAGAGAATGAGTAGGCTCATTGATGAAAAAAAACTATTGAGGCACTCAGCAAGGGTTCTGTTTTGGGAAGATCTTCTCTCACTAACGTGTTAGTGTTCTTTGAGGAGGTGAACAAACATATGGACAAGGGGGACCCAACAGATGTTGTTTACCTTGACTTCCAGAAAGCTTTTGATAAAGTTCTTCCACAAAGGCTCCTAAGTAAGCTCAATAGTCATGGGATAAAAGGACAAGTCCTCTTGTGGATCAAAAACTGGCTAATTAATAGGAAACAGAGAAAACAGAAATTTTCTCAGTGGAGGGTGGTAAGCAGTGGGGTACCACAGGGATCAGTACTGGGTCCGATGCTTTTTAACTTGTTTATTAATGATTTGGAGTTGGGAGTAAGCAGTGAAGTGGCTAAATTTGCAGATGACACTTGCAGATGCAGGGTGGTGAGAACAAGGGAGGACTGTGAGGCACTCCAAAGGGATCTGTCGAGGATGAGTGGGCATCAGTGTGGCAAATGGGGTTCAATGTGGCCAAGTGCAAGGTGATGCACATTGGAGCCAAAAATCCTAACTATAAATACACACTGATGGAGTCCGAACTGGCAGAGACTGACCAAGAGAGAGATCTTGGGGTCGTAGTAGAAAACTCAATGAAAATGTCTAGGCAGTGTGCAACTGCAATAAAAAAGGCCAACGCTATGCTGGGGATTATTAGGAAGGGAATTGAAAACAATGTACTGTGTACAGTTCTGGTCACCACATCTCAAAAAGGATATTATAGCATTGGAAAAAGTGCAGAAAAGGGCAACTAGAATGATAAAAGGGTTGGAACACTTTCCCTATGAAGAAGGTTAAAACGCTTGGGGCTCTTTAGCTTAGAAAAACAACAGCTGAGGGGGTGACATGATCGAGGGTTTGGATGGGCCATTGGCCTGATCCAACATTGGCTTCTCTTATGTTCTTCTATGGAGCAGAGGTCCACCAGTGGCTATTAGCCACTAGATAGGAACTCTCGGTCTGGGGCAAGGGAAGCTCTGTCTTCTTGGTGCTTGGGGGGGCGCAACAGTGGGAGGGCTTCTAGTGTCCATGCCCTACTGCTGGACCTCCTGATGGCACCTGGTATTTTTGGCCACTGTGTGACAGAGTGTTGGACTAGATGAGCCATTGGCCTGATCCAACATTGGCTTCTCTTATGTTCTTTTAAGATCTCTGGCGCAGGGAGTGCCCTGAAAGACTTAATACTAAGTCAACTGCAGTAAGAGAGTATACCACACCTCTTGAACTGAAACTGTAACACCAGGCTTACTTGGTAGTAAAAGCAAATCCCAAAATACTTTAAGCAAATACGATATGTCCAACTGAATGGGCATATTCATTCAGTTGTCCAATGATATGTCCACAATATGCCCAGCTGAAAGGAGTGATAACAAATATCCATGATCACCTGCTGTGCAGATATGGCAAGACGAGTGGGGTGCCCAAGCAATGCCATTCACACACGCTCTGTGGTTGTTCAGCCTGGCAACAGGAGTACAAGGGACTCTGACATCTAGAATCACCACCTTGGAAGTAGAAAAAAAATATGGAACACCAGAAAAGAAACTTTGAGGACAGTTTTAGATTGCCTTATTAAATTATGTACACAACTTTTAACACGTTCCATTTTAACACTTGTGAAGCACATACACCTTTCCATGTAGTTGACCACAATGTTGGACATCTAATATAACAACAAAAATGAAAAAAATTGAGCAGTGCCTTTTGATTAGCCAAATGCTATGAAGCCATTTAAATGACAAAGCTAGTACAGTTAACACATCAGAACTATGCTTTAGTACAATTCCTTTTTATAATGGAGCTAATTAATATAAAATCATCCTGTCTCAATCATATACTCTTAGATTTGAAGCATGGGAAAGCTTATAATGCAACATTGACATTATACATTTGGATTCCAAAAGGGTTCTGTTCTATCATCAATGAGTAAGCAGCCATGAGATAAGACAATGGGTCATAGAATCATAGAACAAGAAAGGGGACCCGCGAAAATCGCGGGGGGAGGAGCGGGGGAGCTCCACACAGAGTGGGCGGAGGAGGAAGCAGCAGGTAAGCTTCCCCCCCATCCCGCTGTTCCCCGTCTCCTCCACCACCACTTCTGGCTCCCGGATTCCCCCTCCCCCGCCTCCGAAGGCTCACAGGTCTCCCCTCCCTGTCTCGCCAGTCTCTCTTTCCTCCCCCTCGCCTCCGAAGTGAGGCCCGCAACTGCCAGGCCTCACCGCTCTCTCTTCCCCCCCCTCAAAGCGAGGCCCGTGGCTTGCAGCTGCTGGGCCTCAACAGATCCCCCCCCCGAAGCGAGGCCCGCGCAGCTTGCAGCTGCCGGACCTCGGC